CCCCCCCCCGGGGGGGGGGGGGCGCGCCCCCTTTTTTTTTTTCCCCCCCACAAATATAAAAAAAAAAAAAAGGGGGGGGGGGGGGGGTGAGGGAGGGAGTCAAGGAAGGAGGGGGCGAGGAGGTGCGCCGCGTAGCGAGCCGCTGAGGGGTTGTTGTGGCACCGAGAGCGGAGCAGCCCTGCAGCGCCGAACTTCGTTCGGCGAAGTTCACCTTCTTTTTTGAGCTTAGCCTTCGGTGTATGAAACAAACGCAAGCGCGCGCCCCACCCCGGCCGGGAGAGAGGGGAGTGACAGTTTGGGATGGCAACAGACCGAGTATGTTGAGTCCTGGCTCAACAACGCAGATAAAGGACTTGGGTGGTCCGGCCCACAAGTCCGGCTCACGCGCCCCGATCTGACCCTCTACCGCAGTGTGTGTGTGGCTGTTTGCGGCGGGCGGCTTGCTGCTCGCGGCGATGGCGAAAAACTCGTCTCGCCACACGCCAAGGGCTTATGCTCTGGCGAGACGTGAGGCGCATGCGCCCAGGAGGGGAGGGGGCATGTGTAACGATACTGCTAGAGATGCCTTTCGGGGCCCAGAGATAAAACTTCTGTGATGCCATGCGTGACCTAGTAGTGTCCCCAGCTATGGGCGTGTCCACGTTGGAGCCAGGTGTGGTGTGGGGGCGAGAATAGCTCCGCCGTTCATGGAGGCAACCGATGCGAGTCGACTGGTGTGTGTCGTCGTGGTTTCGTATCAAGAATACTCACTCACTCACCTCTACCGCACTGATCACTTCCGCCCCCTCGCTCCCAACCCATCCACCTCGCCTCGGGCCGCGCCGCGCGATCTCGGGCGATCTCGCGCGATCTCGGGCGATCTCGGAGCTCCACGCCACGCCTCTCCACCCCACCCCGCCTCACCCACCGCCGCGCCGCGCTATCTCGGGCGATCTCGGAGCGTCGCTCGCGCGGCGTCACACCTGCTCAAAAAGGAAGGAGGTTGGAGGCAGGAGGTCACGCCCCATCCAGAGCGCCGTCGTCGCCGGGTTTTTGGCCCCCGGGTCGTCGCCCGACGGTTGCTGCGCGGGGCAGCAGACCATCGGACGGCGCGACGACGCCCCGTCCGGCACGCTCCCCCCTCCACGCCCAGCAGCTGAACCGCTCCCTAAGTCGAAGGAGCATCGTCAGTCTCACCCACTTCGCTCGCTGCCCACCGTCTCCGCTCCCTCCCGCTTGAGCCGCCGTCGCGGCCCTCGTTCGTCCCACTGGCTGTCGGCCCGTCCCTGCGTTGCCTGCGTTATCCCTCCTCCTCCGCGACTCCCTCAAGGCCGGCCGGGCCTCCTTCCACCCAGTGAAGAGCTTCCTCAGCCACTCGATGTGTTCCTGCCTCTTCATTATGCGCGCCGTAGCCTCATCATTGAGCTGGATCCACCTCTGCACCGCTCCCGTCGCCGCCTCGGCCACGATTTGCAAGTTCCTCGTGACCCCGGCGCCGAGGTCCCTCCGACTCTTCTCCGAGAGATCATCTACCAGCGCCGGCAACACCCCCCCGACGGCTGGGGCTAGTGCATCGTACCCGTCCTCATCCAGCACCCTATAGCGTGAGCCCTTCAGCGCGATAGGGAGATGTCGGTTGCTGTATTTATTTTCCCCCGCTGTCCACATGCAACACACGTCCACGCGCACAGAGCACGCTGCGTATGACTGGCCTCGGGGACGTAGGCTCCGGCACGGCGGCACGCCGCCGGTCGGGTCGGCGACGGAGGTGCGGCTGGTGGAGCTGGGCGCGCTGTCGTCGCGCGAGCAGCTCGCGCTTGTGCGAGGCGCTGCGGGGCTGATCGGTGCGCACGGCGCGACGCTGGTCCGGAGCCTCTTCCCAGACCTCTCCCGGACCTCTCCCGGACCTCTCGTGGACCGCTTCTTCAGGCGCGGCGCTGGTCTGGAACCTCTTCCTCCCCGCGGGCGCGCCCGTGCTAGGGAGGTGTGGGGGAGATTGGGGGAGATTGGGGGAGATTGGGGGAGATCTGCACCTAGGCGCGCCCGAGCTGCTCAACTGCGCTAACGCAAACGCGTACTACTCCAATCAGTGCCGCTGGCAGCGCCGCGGGTGACGCGTCCGCCGCTCGATACCCCGCGTCACCTCCTCCTTCTCCGCCGCCGCCCCACCGCCGCCGCCCCACCGCCGCCGTCTCACCGCCGCCGCCCCCACCGCCGACGTCCCCGCCACCGCCGCCCCCACCGCCGCCGTCCCCGCCACCGCCAGCCCCGCCACCGTCTTCCCCCGCCGCCGCTCTCTCCACCGCCTCTTTCGCCGCCGCCTCCACCTCCACCTCATCTCCACCCTCACCACCGCCACCGTTTCCGCCGCCTCTGCCGGCACCGCCTCCCCTCTGCCCCGGACCCGTGGCAGGTACCGTACGCGGCGCGTGGCAAAACAACGACTCGGCGCGCGAGGTGCAGGCGCTCGACGCCGACGGAAGGCCGCTCGACCCGTTCCGCTGGCACTTGCGCGCAGACGTGGGGGCGGTCGGGGCGCTGCTCGAGGGGCTGCTGAGCTCGCCGCGGCATCGCGCGGCGGAAGCCGCCAGAGGCAGAGAGCGGTCGCCCGGCCGGGGGGATGGTGCTTGGTGGAAGCTCGTAGGGGGGGCGCGCCAGCTACTGGAAAGACGAAAGAAGTGATCTGAGCCTACGTTATAGGGTAGCCTTAGGGGTCTCGTAGCACGTACTAGATTTGGCTTGGTACTGCCGGACAGGATATCCGTCTTCGTCAGGCTATATCGTATGTGGAATCCTGATTCTGCTCCACGGGGGAGAGAACAAAGAACCTTGCAATGAGACGCAAGCGCGCGATCCGTCGAGCTCGGACCGTCGACAACGCTTCGGAACGCGGGCCCTCTGCCGTTAGTCCTTCGCGACGCGGAGCGCACGCATCGCGCCCTTGAGCTCCGCCACCTGGTCGAGCGCGTCGCCGAGCAGCCCCTTGGCCACGCCAAGGTCACGCAGCTGCTCCACGCCGCCGCTCGCGCGCACCTCGGCGGCGTGGTCGGCCACGAATCGGCGGCACTGCGCGAGGAGCCGCCCGTCGCCCGTCGTGTGCGCCGCCTCGAGCAGCGGCACGGCGGTCGCCGGCGCGACGCTCTCCTGCAGCGCCTGCGCGCAGAGCAGCTCGAGGCGCGGCACCTGGTACTTTTGCGCCAGCTGCCGCAGCACGAGCGCGCGCCGCGCCTGCTCGCCCTCCCCCTCGCCGAGGTCGAGCTGGTCGGTGCAGAGGTAGTCGATGAGGGCGGTGAAGGTGGCGAGGTCCGTTTCGAGCACCGTGACCTCGGCGGCGTCGCGCTCCTTCATGCCGATGCCAAACATGGTCCGAAAGAACACGGACCGCACGCAGAGGACGCACTTGCTCACGTGCTCGATGCGCTCCTCGTCGTCGCCGACCAGGAAGGTGACTTTCCCCTCTGGGAGGGAGGCGTCGCCGCGCGTCTTCTTCATGTCGGCCGAAAAGGTGGAGGGCGGAACGACGATCGGGGCAAAGGAGGGAGGCGGAGGAGGCGCCGCCACGCATACCAGGCGGAGGCCGCCTTCCGAACCAACCAACAGCGTGCTGCCGTCGGCGCTGATGGCGACTTCGACTGGGCCGTCGAACTCTGCCGCGTCGCCCACGCCGTCAGCGCTGCCGTCCGTGCCGCTGCCTGCGATCGTCTTCACCGCGCCCGTCGCCACCTCCACCCGCCGGATCTTGTGGTTCTCATAGTCCGCCACAAACAGCGCGCTGCCGTCTTGGCTGATGGCGATGCCAATCGGGAAATCGAACCGAGCCGCGTCGCCCACCCCATCGGCGCTGCCCATCATGCCACTGCCCGCGACAGTCGTCACCTCGCCAGTCGCCACCTCCACCCGCCGGATCTTGTCGTTGCTGCTGTCCGCCACAAAAAGCGCGCCGCCGTCCGGGCTGATTGCGAGGCCGCATGGGATGCAGAACTGCGCCGCGCCGCCAACGCCGTCTGTACTGCCATCCTCGCCGCTGCCCGCGATCGTGGTCACCGCGCCCGTCGCCACCTCCACCCGCCGGATCTTGTTGTTGGCGGAGTCCGCCACAAACAGCGCGCTGCCGTCTGGGCTGATGGCGATGGCGGCTGGACCGTCGAACTGCGCTGCTTCATCGGCGTCGAGGCTGTCTACAAGCGTGGTCACCTCGCCCGTCGCCACCTCCACACGCCGGATGTCGTGGCTGCTGTAGTCTGCCACAAACACCGCGCTCCCGTCTGGGCTGGCGGCATTTCTGTTGAAGACTTCACCTTCCGGCAAGGCTGCCACGCGGCGCACGCGCCCGGCCGAGACGTGCAGCAGCGAGTCCTTGGTCGAGACGTACCAGGCGCCCGCGTGGTCGCTTGCGACGCCAGCCGACCCGAGCGATGCCAGAGGGCCGTCCTCGCCCTCGAGCGTCGGCGTGGTGACCTGTCCAACGAAGCGCGCGCCAAAGATGGGCGCCTCGAAGCCATCCGCGACCGGCACGGGCTCATCGTCGCCGCCGCCGCCGGTGCGGGCGCGCTTGCAGGCGGACGCCATGCCTCGCCTCGACTCGCCGCGCCGGCAAACGGCTGGATTCGGGCAAGGGCTGGGGCGGGTACTCGGAGAGTGTGGGTAAACGAAAGTACCGTATTCGGTACTATCAAGAAAGACACCGAAAAAAGTCGCCGCTGCAGTCCACGACGAGCCAGCCAGCTGCCGGCTCGCACGGCAGCCTCTTCCTATGGACCAGCCTCGACTTCCATACAGTCAACATTTTGTCGCTGCGTGCTCGTGGTGAGCTGTGGCGGCGGTCGAAGTTCGCCCAGATTCGGTGACGAGCGCCGGGCGATAGTACCGCCTCTGTTCGCCCTGTGCATGTCAGGCCAGGCTGCAGCAGGGCACTACCAACGTGCTGCCCTGTTGCAGCCTGACTTTGCCCACTGTGCACAGTCGCCAGAGCACCACCACCGCCCGGCATCGTGTCACGGCGAGCTCCTTCTGCGCCCGCTCGCGAGGCTCTCGCGCTGGCACACTTTGGCCATCTGCTGCTCGCGTTCGGCGAGCTCTTCTCCGCACTCCTGCCACGGTGCCGTCACCACACACCTTCTGGCTGGCCTGAGCCGCGCGGGGTCGCCGGCGGGGGCAACGCGTCGACCTCTCTCTCTGGTGCACCACGGGCCGCAACGGCCTGCGAGCAGCGTGCGCGAGGAGGCAGTGTGCCGGCACAGTCGAGCCGGAGCATCGGGTTCTTGATGCATCTGGGGTCAAGTTTGACCTTATGTGGTATAATATGCAACAATAATGCTATGCTCTCACCCAGCCTTTTGAGATATGATCCCTCAAAGTCGAATTTTCGTTTACTGGTGACCATAGTACCGTTTGTCTTGTTTGCGTTTCTTCAAACGAATCCTTTAAAGTCTCGACAATCACTCAGCTGCTTATGTGGCACCGCAGAGGCTCCCTTGGGGATGCCTGAGGCCACCCCAACCACACACTAAGCCGTACGTAGACGAATTCCGCGCTACTTTTTTCGTTTACCCACATTATGCGAGTACTCATTCACCGGGGAGCCAAGCGCACCCAGTTGGCCAGACGCTCGGCATCGGGTTACGGGCTGAGAGCCCTAGCCCTGGGGGGTGCGCGGTCGCAAGGCCATAACACGGGTCTCCGACCTTGGAGCACTTGGAGTGCAGTCATCAACCTACTCTGTGAATTCGCGGAGCGAAGAAAATTTTATACGGAATACGTCGCTTTTGGGAAAGTTTTTGGAATACGTTGGAATACCTAGGTATTCCACCTTCCCCCCCTCAGCACATCTCCGCTGTCGCGCGCCGCGTGCTCGCGCAGCCACGTCTGCGCGTCGGCGGCCGAGCGCAACTGGTCCGTCTACGGGGCAATCAAGACGACGGCGCGCGGGCAAATGGGTCACGCCGTCGCGCCGACAAGCGCGTCTACTGCCACGAGGCGCTCCACCTCACGCGAGGGGCGTGGGCGGCAGAGGGGCCCGAGGACATGCGTGGACCCGTGGGGCGGTCCGAGGCGGCGGGCGCATTGCTCGAGCACGTGCTGAGCGCCGACCACGCCGAGGATCGGGGGAAGTTCACGCTGCTTTGGCATTCGCTCTTCGCCGCACCGCTTGAGGACGACGCGGAGGGCGCGGGAGGGGCGGGCGAGGAGGGCGGGTTCGGGGGTCGGGACGACGCGGGCATGCCCAAGCCTGGCTGGGAGGAGCGCAGCGTGGCGCTCAACACCGGAGCCAGCATGCCCGCGCTCGGCTACGGCACCTACCGGCTCGAGGGGGAGCCGCTGCGCCGGGCGCTGGTCTGCGCGCTGCAGCAGGGCTACCGCCACATCGACACCGCTGCCGGCTACGAGAACGAGGCCGTCGTCGCCGCGGCCATCGCCGAGTCAGGCGTGCCGCGCGAGGAGATCTTTCTCACCTCCAAGCTGTGGTGCACCGACCACGGCACCGAGGCGACGTACGACGCCATCCTCGCAAGCCTCACGGCGCTCAGTACCGACTACATCGACCTCTATTTGATCCACGCGCCGACCAACATGGGCGAGACGGACGAGCAGATTAGGGACCTGCGGCAGCAGAGCTGGCAGGTGATGGAGCAGCTGCACGCGGCGGGCGCGCTCAGAAGCATCGGAGTCTCCAACTTTGAGCCACGCCACATCGAGCAGCTGCTTCGCGGGACGGGCGGCTCGCGGCGCGAGGGCGCCGTCCTCCCGGCGGTGAACCAGGTCGAGCTTCACGCGTACCTTAGCCAGAGCGACATTCGTGAGTACTGCGAGGCTCAGGGGATCCTCGTCACGTCGTACGGCTCGGTCGGGGCCGCCTCCGGCTTGCTCGACGATCCCACAGTCGTCGCCATCGCGAAATCGCACGGCAAGTCCGCCGCGCAGGTCACGCTGCGCCACTCGCTGCAGCGCAACTGCGCCTTTCTGGCGCGCTCGACCGCGCCGCAACGCATCACTGCGAACGCAGAGCTCTTCGACTTTGAGCTGAGCGAGGAGGAGGTGCAGCAGCTAGACGCGCTGGAGCGCGCACAGCGGACGTATTGGGACAATAGTGAGGTGCCGTGAGGCTGCGAGAAAGGACGGCTGTTGAGTTTATTGTTTCTCTACGTCTCTTTCTTCTCCTAGTACCTCAGCTACCCGCGACTGTAGTTCAACAAAAATCCGAACATACACGTACAAATCAATCAACATGAGCTCAACCCCCCCTCCGGGGTCAGTATGCGAGGACTGCGAGGACTGGGAGGTGGTCTGAGATGACTTTCGCGTTCCAAAACACCTCAGCGTCGAGCGTAGTAAACTGGCCCACCGGCGCAAAGACAAAGTCGATTCGGTGGTTGCCCTGCGGGCTGCCGTACGAGCCCGCTCCATCGTAGCTCTCGCCATGGATGTCCTGCCAGGTGTCGCGCATGGGCAAGGGGTTGGGCTGGGCCGCCCACTCGCCCCTCAAATAGGCGTTCCCGGGCGCGTTGAAGTGGCAGTTGAAGTCCCCTGTTGCAACTAGAGGATACTGGGGAAAGGCCCGACTGCGTATGGTCTCCATCATGCGGAGGCCATGCCCCAACCAGCCGTCGGCGTCGGCGTCGTAGTGGTTCCAGTGCGTGTTGTAGTGGTAAAGATGCTGCCCAGTCAGGCCGTCGTGAAAGAGCGCCCAACCCACGTGGCGCCAGGGGACGACGTCGGAGAGCGTCGTCCGGCCCGAGTCCCTCACCGTGAAGCGGTCAGCCTTGTACAGGATCGTGTTGACCATGTCGCCGCCACCCGAGACTGCCGCGTAGACCGGCCGGTCCTGCACGAGCCGCGAAGAGGGATAGAAGCCGTGGCTCGCCCCACCCGCCGGATTCCGCGCGTCGTTCTCCTGGAGGCCGATCAGGTCCGGGTCGAGAAGGTCAATCATCTCGAGGATATTGTCGCCCCGGTTGGCCCAGTTCCACTGCCCGTCGGCCGAGAACAGGATGTTGAAGGAGAGGACGCGAAGGGTCCCGGTCCCGACCGGGAACCTCGGCGGCGGCGGCGGTGACGGATGAATCCCCTGCGGTGCACACAGTCCGCACAGCGGCGGAAACTCCTCGCCCACCTGCTGGCACGCGTCAGCCTCGCTCTTGCCTAGATTGTCGATCACCCATTGTATTCGGTCGCCGCAGGTCGCCTGAGCGTTCAGACCGATCGCAACGGTGGCCAGGACGGCGGCCGTGCATGTGCTCACGCCGCACGCTTGAGAGGAGGGTAGCGGCGGCAGCGATGGCGTCGGCGGTGGCGATGGCGTCGGCGGTGGCGATTGCGGCGGCGGTGGCGGCGGTGGCGGCGGTGGCGGCGGTGGCGGCGGTGGCGGCGGTGGCGGCGATGGAGGCGGTGGTGGCGGCGGCGACGCCGACGGCGGTGGTGGCGACGACGGCGATGGTGACGGCGACGGCAAAGGGGAGGGGGACGGCGCGGGTCCATTCTCCGCGGCGGAATCTATTCGGACAACGGCGACGATCGGCTGGTGGTCGGAGCCGCCCGGCGCATCGGCGACGGTGGCGGTGGCGATGACCCCGAATCGCCCTTCCTCGGTGTAGATGTAGTCGACCCAACTGCGGTGCGCCAATGTGAAGGTGACGGCGAGGCCGCCTCCCGTGAGGCTCGATGGCGCTGGGTTTGAGGGCGAGTCCTCGTTGAGGTCACCGAGTAGCAGCACCGGCGCGTCGCCGCCAGCAGCCTTCTCCGCTGCCGCGTGGTTCGCAATCATTACCGCGTTCTGCTCGTGATAGCCCCACACCTCCTCCCCGCCCGGCAGTTGGTGCATGCCGTAGACGAGCAGGTCACTTGCGGTGGCGGCATGGCGAAGCCGTGCCCATGACATGGCCCGAGTTCTGTCGTAAGGGACCGCGCCGTCCTGCACAACAGACCACGTGCCGGCGCGGTAGAGGATGTCACCGTCCCAGAGCTGAGCGGGTGCGTCAGCCGCCCACTGGTAGTCACGGAGGTCGTCGCCGAGGGAGTGCAGGGCAGTCAGCAGCTGCTCGCGGCAGAAGGCGGTGACGCACTCTTGGATCGAAGCCACGTCGGGCCGCTGCTGAGCGATGGCAGCCGCCAGTTGGGCGTTTCGCTCCGGCGACTGCTCTGCAAATCGGACGTTGAAGGACATTGCCTTGAGCTGCACCCCGTCACCGCCGCCACCACCATCAAGGGGGGGCACCCTTGGCATGATGTACGTGTCGTAGCCGACATAGTCGGCCACGCAGGAGGAAAGCTCCACATACCCGCGTCGGTAGCAGAGCAGCGGCGAAGTCGACGTGACGACGACCGCCTCGCAGCCCGCCGTCGCGGCGCACTGCGCAAAGCAGTCGTCGATTGATGCAACAGTACAACACGGACTCCCGCCCGGCGTCTCGAGGTCCTCCGCGCCAAAGCCGGCGTAGCAGTTTGTCGAGGCGTGCAGCGTCCACGTGGCGGGCTGGCCGGCGGGGTCGCAGCCGCCGCACTCGGCCGGAAACTCCACACTAGCGACTCGCTCGCACGCAGCCGTCTCGGCCATACCGCCCCCGTTGGCGCTGCGAAGCCACGAGATGCGGCTGCCACACGAGTACTGCCCGCCTGCGTCCGTCGCCAGAGTATTCCAGACTGCGTCCGTGCACGACGCCGCGCCGCAGCGAGCCTCCCCTTGCGGCGGCGGCGGCGCGTGCGGCGGCGGTGGCGGCGGTGGCGGCGGCGGAGGACGAGGGGACTCGATGGGAGCGGCGGCAGCAGTTGGATTGCATGCGCCACACTCGCTTGGAAATTCATTGACGGCGACCTGCGTGCAGGCGGCTTCTAGGCCCATCCCCGGCCCGGCGGGGTCGACTTGCAGCCAGATGATCCGGGCACCACAGCTCGCGGTCACACCCGGCCCAGCAGCCAGAGTTGCCCACGTCGCATCGTCACAGCTCACAACCCCGCAGCGCAAGGTGGGCGGTGGCGACGTCGACGGAGTTGGCGACGGCGATGGGGATGGCAACGGTGGCGAGGGGGAGGGGGAGGGCGAGGAGGAGGGCGAGGGGGAGGGTAAAGCCGCCGCCGCTGCCTCAAAGGAGGCTGCCACGAGGGGGTGGTCGCTGGGGTAGCCATTCACCGAGCGCCATGAGGCGGCCTCGGCGCCGTTTGTGAATATCATATCGATCCCGCCGTTTGCCACCAGGTTGAGCCCGGCAGCGTCGTCGAGCACGTTGACAGCGGCGGTGCCTGCGCCGCAGTTGAAATCGCCCGTGTAGACTAGCATGTCTCCGGGAACGATGTTGTCGGTCACGGCGCCCCACCAGTTCTCTCCGAGGGCCGTCGAGCACATGGGAGGGTTGGCGGTGCCTCCGTCAGCTGGACCATGCGTGTTAGCAAAGAAGACTGTCGCTCCCGTCGCACGTGCGATGAGCCTGACCCAGGATGTGATGCGTACGCCCCACCGATCGGAGCCGATCTGGCGCCAGCCCGCGTCCAGCTGCTCAAACTTTTCGCTGTCCCACGCGACTGGGTTGATTGGCATGCCTGGAGGCGTGTATGAGTCAAACCTGCCTCGCATTCGCCCGACCCCGTTGATGATCTGGCCGACATTGTCGCACTCCTGGAAGCCGATCAAGTCGAAGATCTGGGAGTCTACTTTCCTATACAGGGCGTCCCAGTTGTTGTTCTGAGCGACATTCCACCAGAAGAGGTTGTAGGTGACCACCTCGAGGCTGGCGCTTGGTGGACCGCTGCCCGCCACGAGACTCGGCGACCCAGGCGGGGACGGCCGGATGCCCAAAGGCGCGCACGGCCCGCACACGGACGGAAACTCCTCGCCGACCTGCTGACAGGCGTCGAAGCCAGTCTTGCCAAGGTTCGCAACCACCCACGCGATCCGGTCGCCGCAAGAAGCACTCTCGGTGGCGCTACTCGCAATGGCGGCGAGGATGGCGGCGGTGCATGTGCTCACGCTGCACGAGGGACTCGACATGCTGTGGGCAGCGTGCCAATGGCTCGCTAGCCGGCAAAGGTGCTGCTGCCGCGCCGAGCCTAAAGCTTGTTAAACAGACGAGCGCTCCGTGGGCGCGCGGAGCCCAATGAAAGACACGCTTTTTTTGTGGGTTATTTTGAGGGCGCGGCGCTTTCCTCTCTTTGAACTTTCTCATGCGGAGACATTTTCTTTTTTTTTGGATTTTCTTTTTGCGTGTCGATGGCTCACAGGGTCATCCTGAGACTACACCGGTACCGGTAGCCTTGCCCTGACTGTCAAGAGCCGTCGCCGGTTCCGGCGCGAGCCGCTCCGGTTCGCACGCCCGCTTGCGGGTTCGAGTGGCGGGCCATATCCCGCTTGCGGGGGATGGCTTAGCGGGTTCGAGCCGCGTCACACATTGGCTGCCCGGGGTGTGCCGGGGGGGGGTGGTCGTGGCGTACACGCGGGGACACTTTTCTGCCCTCGTCGCCACCGAGGCGGTCGCGAGCGACGCCACCTGGGCCGCGATGGGCATGCACGCGCCAGCGGGGACGCCCAGCATTCCCATTCCTCTGGCGGACGAGCACACGCGGGTTCTGCCCATCATGTTTCCGCCCAGTGAGAGGGCGTACCCTGCAGCCGACGCCGACGCTCTCGTGGCGGCCCTAGCGGCGCACGGCTATTGCGAGTCCGCGGTGACCTGGGCCGGACACCCTGGCAGACCGCGGATCCCTGTCGTTGCGCAGCGCTGCCCGCCCCGAGCCATCGGACCGAGCGGCGCCCCGGCGGACGCTTACTTCAATGCGGATTGGCGGCAGCGCGTCGCGGCCCTGTCAATCGCAGGGCCCCTGATCTAAGAGCTCATGAGTCATGTCTAAAAGAGAGTGTCCACAAGAAAGGAAGAAAACAGACAACCTAAGGGGAAGGGATGGGAGGACGCCGCCGCGCCACCGCACCGAGAGCGATATCTTACGGAAAGGACGCAGTGTGGTGCCGCTATATACCCGCCCCCGCCATGTTTGCCCGCGAATGACGCCGGATCGTACCCGCCTACACACCGTGCAGATTGAGCCCGTAGAGCTTGCCGATCATCTTCGAGCTGGGCAGTAGCACCCACTCACGGTGGACCTCGTCCCAGCGCGCGTCCGCGTCATCGCCACCCTCGACGTCGCTCTCCTCGTCGTCAAGTTCACCGTCCGCGTCCGTCTCCTCCTCGTCGTCCTCGTCCTCGTCATAGTCGTCGTCCTCGCTGCCCGGCACCTTGCGCAAGGCCGTCTCGCCCTCCTCCTCGTACTCGACAGGCTCGTCGATATCGCCGCCGGTCTCACACATCGCGATGTGATGCAGCTCGTAGCCCACGCGGACGAGCACGGACGCGTAGCGGTCAATCATGAGCCGCCACACCTCGTCGACCATCCGCACGGTGTGGCGGCAGATGCCCGCGCGCTTGGCGAGGCGCGCGACGAGGAGATCAATGGTCGCGGCTGGCAGCATTGCGGCCATTGCCGGCAGCAGAGTGTCCATGTCGAAGGCCTGCGACGACAAGGTAAGCATGCCGCTATCGTAGTGGGGCAGACCGGCCCCAGCAGCATTCCCTCCGCGCGCGTAGTTACTACTACGCGCGCGCATGCCGCCATCGTCGTCGAAGGAATAACTTGTGAGAGCCTGTGAGTATTGTCGTCCGAGCAGCGACGCGGCGAATCGCACGTCATTCGAGCCAACGACCACTGAATCGGGCCCCTCATTCGCACGCTCATGTGACTCGGCTTGCGTACCGCGATGCACGGCCGACATGAGCGCCGCCTTCAGCAGGTGCACCGCATCAGCTTCAATCGCGTTCACAGCTGCTGAAAGCGCCGCGCGACGCAGGTGCACTCGGAATGGCGACGCGTCATGCGGCTGCTCAGGGCAGCGCCACGTCAGATCGTATCCATGGCCATGAAAGCGAAATCTGTACCTGTCCTGCACAATAGGCCATGCCGTGCAAAAGAGGGCCGACGAGAGCTCATCGAAAGCAGCGCATTCGAGTCGTTGAAGATGCATCGCGGTGTCGTTCTTCCTGCGTCGAGAGGACGCTTAGAAGGACGGGCTCCGTATGCAACTGGTTTTGCCGAATCAGTCGCACCGCGCGCACATATCGCCGTTCCTTGAGCTTCTCTCCAGCGATGCTCGGCATTGCGGCTCCAGCATCGTGAGCTATCATCCAGGCCTCGGACGCAGCGAAAAGGTCCTTGCAGACGGATCCACGCACGGTGACCGTGGTACGGAAGTCGTCTTCGTCCATCGCAGCGCACCGCAGGACGTGGATCAGCAGCTCCCGAGGCAAAAGCAGTACATGCATGCGCACTCGCGTCGGCGGCATCGCGCGCCTCGCAACGCCGCCGCGCGCAGCAGCTGCTGGGATATCGAGCGCTTTTCGGCGCCAAGAAATTTCACTGGACGGGCCTCACTGCCTTGGCGCTTGGGTTGTCTGTTTTCTTTCTTTCTTTTTTGGCGCGAAGAAATTTCACCGCCAAAAAAAACTCGCACGCAGCATGGCACACCCCTCTCCTTCAAATCCCTGTGTGGTGGCGGCGTGCCGTTCTCCCATCCCTCCCTCGGGGTGTCTCCTTTCTTTCTTTCTTTCTTTCATGGCACGAGTGGGGAGAGAGAGAGAGAGTTTTGTTTGTTCACGAGTGGCGAAAATCGCACTCCTGGGACAGACAGCCGGCCGACGGGCAGCCAGCCCTCTCGTCCTCACAAAACACAGCGACGCCACGAAAGAGAGAGAGATTTTTAGCAATACCAAACAACTCTAACATTGTTTGTCCACGAAAGCCGCGCGCTATCGCGCAAAATTTACTTCGCGATCTTCGCCGACCAGCGCTCCGGCACAGTGCGCCGCTCGGATGCTCCGACATTGTGTCATGCTCTCTCTCGCGAGCAGCGCTCTACATACAACCAGGCCGACGAGGCCACGTACCTCGCCGAGTTCTCGTCGCTGATCGCTCCTTCGCACGCGGACACGCTGCCTGCAGCAGCTGATATCGAGAAAACGAGCGGCTTCAACGGCGCGAAGAAATTCAGAACCCTTCACAAAGTGATACACATATTTGTGGCGCGACCCGATGATGGAAGAAGGAATGCCCGGCCAAATGTGAGCTATTGCACGTTGGTACTGCTGACCCAACCTGAGACCATAGAGCCCAGAAGGCGGACGGTGGACGGACGCTCGAACCGGTGTGACATTAAGGCAGTGCAAGATGGAAGGCAAGCTGGCCAAAAAACGTACGTTCGGTAGGTGGCCGAATACGTTTTTATTATCTCCGCCATTGCTCGGGCTCTTTTCAGCACGCGCACACTCACAGCGATGCGGACAGCGGGCTGCGCGGCGTGGGCGGCGGAGGGACCGGTGGCGGCGGCGAGGGGGCCGGCGAGGGGGGCGGTGGCGGCGGCGACGGCTCGGGAGGATCCGGCGGCGGTGGCGAGGGGGGCGGTGGGGAGGGTGGAGGTGGAGAGGGTGGAGGTGGCGAGGGCGGCGGCGGCGAGCAGTAGCACAAAGGCCGATGCCACGCATACTTGACAGCGGTGCAACTTGACAGCGCTTCGTCTCCTGATCCCGGTACAAAGTATGTGCAATGCATCGAGTTGTACTGAATGGTCATATAGGGGGTGCCAGCGTACGATCTTGACGAGATAGAATCGGGCTTGCATTCGGCCCCGTTCTGAGCGTTTCGCATCGTCTCACGAATGAGCTCCTCCGTGTTAATCGTGCTTGGCGGCGAGGGTGGCGGCGGCGGTGATGGTGGCGGCGGCGGCGACGGCGACGGCGAGGTTTGCGGCGGAGGCGGCGACTGGAAGGGGTGGCAGGCGCCACACTCTTCCGGAAATTCCTCTGCGACCTTTTCGCACGCCTCCACCTCGATCCGGTCGGTGTTGCTCTTCAGCCAGTCGATGCGAGACTCGCACGATGAGAAGCCCTTGTAGTTGGCGGTCAGATCTTGAGGTCGAGGTTGGCGCGCTTGGTCACGTCCGAGCCGGGGGTGTAGCCCGCGATGTCGGGCCAAGGGCTCGTTTCGTTGCACGCCGCCGCCACGCCGCCAGGCGAGAGGCCGCCCACGTCGGCGCAAGTGATGCCGAGGCAGTCGTAGGTGCTCTCGAAGGCGGCCTTGACCGCCGCGAAGTCGGGGTACTCGCCCTGGTCGTACAGGCCGAACTTCATCTCGTCGCTGATGGTCTTGGCAGCGGCGACGTTGCACTCGTGGACGAGGGGCAGCACGGCCGCCGTGAAGACGGCGCCCTCCGCCGCGTTCTTCTGCGACCGATCCGTACCCACCTTCGCCTCGCCCGAGATCGACTCGCCGACCTTGTACGCGTAGCGGAGCGAGCCCTGCACGAGCGGCACCGTCATCTGCTTGATGATCGTGTCGACGATGGGGCGCACGGCGGAGCAGTTGCCGTCCATGAGGTACGCCTCGCCCTTAGTGAAGTCCGCGAGCAGCTCCTTGTTGACGTTCGACAGCCCCGTGCTCCCCGACTCGCAGGTGTCAAAGTTGGCGCACCGCTTCTCCGCGAGCCGGTAAACCATCTTGCCGGCCGAGCTGCCACCCACGTTCGGCCCCTCGAGCGAGCCGGCGTTGAAGGCGACGCCCTCGTCCCACGCGTGCACCGCCTTGTACTGAGGGCTGTCCGGCCCGAACGAGTCCGACAACTCGTTGCAGTTCAGACCGTCCGCGCAGTTCTTGCAGTCGTCGATCGCGTCCTCAAACTCGCGGATCACGTACATCCACACGTTCATGTACGCCGTCCCCTTCTTGACCGCCTCGATCCGCGCGGCGATGGCGCCGGTGGCGTCCGCAAGAGCGGCGTGGTCGGCGTGCACCTCCTTGGACAGGTATACGATCCCCGCGGTCAGCCCCGCATTGATGCCGACCGAGGCGAGCAGCGCGATCACCAGCACGAGCGCAAACCTCCGGAAGACACGAGAGATCTTGCGCTCCCTCGCGGCCTCCTTTTGGGCCTCCCGCTCCGCCGCCTCCTTCGCGGCAATTTCCTTGGCGACGCTGCTAAGTTCTGCCGCGTCAATGACGCCATCGTTGTTCTTGTCGAAGACCCGCATCACCGCCGACGAGGTCCTCATCACCCCCGACGGGCCGCCGCCAGACTCTGGCGGCGACGGCGGCGGCGAGAAGACGGGCGGAGAGAAGGTCGCCGTGCTGTTGCGCCGCCAGCGCAGCTGCCGGAGCACGAGGTCGGCCGTGGCAGCAAACACGCTCACGGCGAAGAGGAAAGAGAGAGGTATCGCACCACCCTCCGTGAACCACGAGAAAGTGGTGCTCGACGCGGAGGATTCCGCGGGAGCCGCTGCTGCGCCGGGGAGGCACGCCGCGGCGGCGGCGACGAAGACGGCCCACGCCGCGCCGCGCCGAGCCCCCTTTCCGCTCGCCGCGGTCGGCCAGGAGGCGACGCAGGCGATGGCGAGGAGGATGAGCACGAGGGCGGGCATGAGAAGCGGCGAGCAGCTCACGAGCGAGGACGCCTTCGAAGCGACGCCGGATGAGAAGGTAGACGCCGACGAGGCGACGGAGGCTGCCGAGGCGACGGCAGACGAGAAGGCCGAGGCCACCGCCGTCGGGCTAGGCACGGCGGGCGCGCAGCGGCCAAAGGCGGGCATGCAGACGAGGAGCAGCCACCGGAAGGCGCCCTCGGCCTTCGTGAAGCCGCCCTGCACGCAGTTGGCCGCCGCCTTGAGGCCGGCGCGACCGCCGGCGCCGCACGTGCCAGCGACGGCGCCGCACGTGCCAGCGGCGAATGGCGCCTTGCCGGACGTGGTCTGCGGCTCGCGGCGCCGGTCCGGCGACTTGCAAGGCGGCGTCTGCGGCCCGCCGCGCGGCTTCGGTCGCCGGTGCGAGCCGCGGCCGCGGCCCTTTGCCTTGCCAGACTTGCGCCTGCCCTTTGCCTTGCCAGACTTGCGCCTGCCCTTTGCCTTGCCAAACTTGGGGTTGTTGCGGCAGCGCATGGCCTTGCGCCGGCACTTGCACCCGCACCCCGACCGCTCGGCGTCCAGCTTCGCCCGCTGTATCTTGGTGAGCAAGATCGCGGCCATCGCCTTGTCGCGCACGGCGAGATAGTACTCGCGTGACGCGGCGTCGACCTGCCCCGCGTCCGCGCCCGCGCCCAGGGGCTTGGGCGCCACGGGCGCAATGCCGCCGGAGGTGGGGACTCCCGGCGACGGCGACTTCTTGCCGTCGGCGGGCGTAGCCTGGTAGCTGACGCTCTCGCCCAGCCGGCGGACTGCAGCCTCGACGCCGTCCACGTAGCCCGGTCCGGAGCCGCTGCGGGCCGACGCGGGCCCGCTCTTCCCCGCCGCCTTCGGCGTGGGCAGGCCCGGGTAGCAGGTGGTGTCCTGCAAGCGCGATAGGGGCACGCGGGAAGGGAGATTATTACCGGTGGGAGAGCGAGGAGTGCCAGGAGAGAATGCTGCGGCGCGCTCACCGCTGGGTCGGGCGCGTTGGAAACGGTCTTGGCCGGCTTCTCGACCTCCTTGGCAGCCTCCTCGGCGACGACTTCCTTAGCGACGGGCGCCTCCTCGGCGACTGCCTCCGCGGCGGCGGACACCTCGGCGGCGGCGGACTTGGTGGTCGCCTCCTTGGTGGCGGACTCCTCGGCGACGACGACCTCCTCGGTGGCGGCGGACTTGGTGGCGGACTCCTCGGCGGCGGACACCTCGGCGGCGGACTCCTCGGCGGCGGCGGACTTGGTGGACTTCATCAGCGACAACTCGCCCGCGACGTTGCCGCCGCCCGCGTCGATGCCGTCCTTGAGCGGGCCGGGCTCGCCCTCGGACGGGACGTTGGCGGTGCCGGTGCTGGCGGTGCCGGTGTCGATGCCATCCTTGAGCGAGACGGGCTCGGAGGGGATGCCGACGGCGTTGCCTCCGCCAGAGTCGATGACGGCCGTGTTGTCCGCCAGAGACGCCTGTCAGCCGCAGAACGCGAGAGGATAGTCTTGCAGGGAAGGCGCAGCGTTGCGCGCGTGTGCATACCCCCTCTCTCAGCCACTGCAAATTAACGCACACCTGCTTGTCAGCAAGCGGCGGCGGAGGAGAGAGCTTGAGCACGAGCTTGTCACCGGCGGCCGGCACGAACTCGAGTTTGAGCATGTTGATCGAATGAATTCCTGCAGAGAGTCAAGAAGCGGGCTCCAGAGAAGCGGGTCGCTCTCTTGCCAGAAGAGAGGGAGGGCGGTCGCGCGCGCGCGGGACAAGGGTGGGGAATGGGCAGCAGCGGACGCGTCTCGCGTCCTCCTCATACAATGGCAGCGGCTGTACCTGCGAGCGGGAGCAGGCAGGCGGTGAGAGGCAGAGGGGAACAGCCGCTCGCGCCGCGAGCAAAGGCGCATCGCATGGTAGGGGTGGTGAGGGGGCGGCGGGTTCCGTGAGCAATAGGCGTCGCGGGGGTCTAGGTGTGCAGCTTGCGGCGGCCAAGTTCGGGCGCAATGCGGCGCGGCAGCGCGAGCGGACGAGGAAAGTGCCATGGCTTGCCTCGTAGCAAAGCCGTCGGTGTACAGTGGACTGGGGAACGTGGGGTACTATTTTCAATCAAAAAGAGCGCCTTAAAGCACTACTCTATCGAGGTCTCGCGGAGCGGCAATTTTTCGTTTTTCACCGACGTGGGGAACAAAGGGAGTTGTGCCCGCGCAACATTTTTTTTCTTTTTGTGAGGAGCGGAAGGCGCGCCACTCGCCGTGCATGCAGTACAGCGTCGAGGAGTCTGCAGCCCCGGGCGCGCCCGCACGGCGATTGCCGCCTCCACTCCAACCTCATCCACTCTCACTCTGACATTCTCTCCAGAGTCCTCGCGTCGAGCCCGTGGCGCCGGAGCGCGAGCCCCAAGCTCGGGACACAGCGGGACATTGACGATCTGCGATGCCTGTGCGGTGGCAAGCTTCCTGGTGCTCCAGGCGCGCTGCGCCCGCGCGTCCGCGACGCCCGTGTGTGCCCCTGCGCGCGCCCCGCTCGCCGCGCCGCCGCCGGGCCCGTGGGGGTCTCAGGTTTGCGCGTGTGTGCCGCAGATGTCACGACCGAGGAGCTCCAGCAGATCCTCCAGAAAGTGCAGGCCGAGCTTGAGCGGCGCGCGGCGCTGCAGCGCGGGGCGCCCGAATCGAAGCGGTGCGTGCCCCCCCTCGCCGTGGCCGCGCTCGCCCCGCCTTGGCGAGCTTTTGCCGCGCGCGCAGGAACTCGATCTTGTGCGCCTCGGGCAAGGTGTTGCCCAGCGAGGCGGAGGTGCACGCATGGGCGCTGCTCGTCACCCAGGTGCCCAAGGGCCCGCGGAGCTTCTACAAGGACGGCGAGGCGGCGAGCGTGCGGTGGGACGCCAACGACCGCGGCCGAGCCCGAGTCGGACGGCTTGATCGAGCTCAAGAAGGGCAGGTTCCAACGCGGACTGCGACGGTGGCGCCGCCGCCGCCTGCGGCGGCGGCGGCGGAGGACGAGGAGATGGAGGTGCAGGCGGAGGTGCAGGCGGAGGTGCAGGTGGAGGCGGAGGCGGAGGCGGAGGCAGAGGCGGAGGCGGAGGCGGCGGTGGCGGCGGCGCCGAGGCAGCGCGGGGCGCCGAAGAAGCGCGGGGCAACCGCAGCAGGCGTGGCGGCTGACGAGGCGGCGCCACAGGCGCGCGAGGCGCGCCCACGGCGCAATGCACGTTGACTCTGCGGCACATGCAGTGGACAGCAAACACATAGGGTGATGCGGCACGGCGGTAGATGGCCGAGGATGCAGACGGACCGTTGTATGTGTGTTGTGTATATGCTCATATCCGCGTTACCACAAAACAGTTTTTATACACTCAATCACAGGCACACGCAAAGTGAGATCGCGGCGAGACGCTAGTTCCATTCACAGTGGCACAGCTTGCCAATTTGCGATATTGACCATTTGTACATGTCGGTGCCTTCCAGAGGCAGCTGCGACCCCGCCGAGCAGACGGTGGCACACAGCAGGTGGCGCGGTGTGCCACCGTCCACTCGGCGGGATCGCAGCTGCCTCTGCGCGTACTGGGGATGTACCTTTGTCGCGCGCCGGAGACGACTCGACGCCGCTGAGATCGGAGATCAAGCTCTGACAGGTCGCACGTCGCTCCTTTGACGCCGACGTGACTCACCCGTGCAGATCACATCAGGACACGGTCTCGACGCGCTCGGTACGACGCCTGCGACCCGTCTTGGGTCAGGTGGCACGACGCTCATCGCGCCTACCAGCGCTGCCGTGCAGGTTGCCACGACGAGGTCGAGCACGCTTCTATACGCTCGCCCAGCCTTCCTTTCCATCCCATTAGGCAGCCTGGGAACGGTGGCGATCAGAGGCAAAGCCTACGAGGGGTGGTGGAACCACATGTCACGGCCACCGCCGGCTCGACGCCACGATAGCCTCCGGAGGCTGACTTTGAGGCACCATCATCGGACGATGTAGACGAGTTGGGTCGCTCTCGCGGTAGCCAGATGACCTCCCATACTAGTATCATCGGAGCTCGTTCGATTTTTTGTTCGCGACGGCCGGGCCCATCCAAGCGGTGGTACCGTCTGGTGGTGTCAATGGGGTCGCGGCGCACCCTGTGCTCGCTCGCCGTCGCGACAATCGCCACACTCCTCGCTGTTGCCGGCTGCGACGCCTCCTCGGCCGCCTGGCTGCTCGGCACGCTCCTCACAAGCCTCAGCCCAGCCGGGCTCGGAGGCAGCCGCTACAGCCCTCTCCCGTTCGCGCGGCGGCTCGAGGAGTGGGCGTACGGGCGGTGGGAAATTTCCGACCCGCCGCTCTCGCCGAGCGTGCCCTTGCCCGTGCCCGAGGTCCTCCCGACCGCCGCAACAGAGGACATCGACCTGAGGGCGCCGTTCATCGTGCGAGGGCTCTTCAACGGCTCGGCGGCGCTTGGCGCGCAGGACTGGCTGCGCGACCCGCCCGTGGGGGAGCTCGAGGTGCCGTACTACTCGAACGCCTCCGACGGCGCGCTGCGGCCAGACAGTGTCGGCCGCCTCGCGGAGGTCGCGGACGCCATCCAGGCGGGCGGCCCGCAGAAGCTGGCGACGGAGCTCGTCTTCCGGCGCCACCCGCACCTGATCGAGCGACTCCAGCTCGCGCCTCCCCTCGCGCGCCTCTTTGGCAGCAGCACGTTTGAGCAGTGGCGGCTGGGCAAGACCCTCACCGTGCCTATCTTCATGGGCACCGGCGCCGCGGACGCCGCAGTCCGCACCGACCTGCACGCCGAGCCGATCGGCAGCGCCACACTCGCGCTGAGCGGGAGCAAGGTGTGGACGCTGGTGCCCGCGAGCGAGAGCCACCTGCTCCGGCCGTCGGTCGCCTCGGACGGCCGTGCCTTCTTCCGCACTCGGCGGGCGCACGGCGCGGCGGGCGCCCTCGCCATCGCCGAGTCGGGGGCGGCGCACTATGTGGTGGAGCAGTCTGCCGGCGACGTGCTGTGGGTGCCGACGTGGTGCTGGCACCGGGTCGACTACCAGGCGAGAGCGTGGAGACGAGAAGCGAGGCTGCGCGTGCCGGGCGCCACGTGATGCTCACGCACAGCGCGCCTGTCCCTTGAGCAGGCCGGCGTCACCGCGCTCAGCGTCTCGCTCTTCCACTTGCGCATCGGCCAGCTGCTCGGCGACAACCGCCTTTTCGCCGCCGGCCTGCTGCCCAACCTGCTGAAGGAGCTCGTCGGGTGGAAGACGCAGTGACCGCAGTGAGATTCACCCGCGCATAACAAAAAAAATAAGAAAGGACGCCCGACCTAGCAGATTTGACAAAGACCGTCATGGGAGGGGGAGGGGAGCGCGGGTGCGGCAGCAGGCGGGGGTGCCACACGGAGCGCACCACGAGAGGATCATGCGGGGAGAGGCGGGGAGAGAGACCCCGGGAGCCGCCACGAGGAGCGAACTCAGGGGCTGCCTCGTCTGTAAGGCCGCGAGGGACGCGGCGAGGAGGGCGGCACTAAAGCGAGACCCGCTGTGTCCAGTCGCGCGGAAAGCCGCGCAGCAATGGACCGAGGAAGATGAGAACCCGCCTAGGGCGACAATGGCGCACTTGCTTAGCGGCGCCTGCCTGGGGAATAGGGAGCAGGCCAGATGGTTCCTCAGAGTAGCGCGAGCGCAGACGGGGACGGCGATCAGCAAAGTAGCCCAGGCGGCACCCGACTCCAAGGATACGCTGAAGACGCTGAGGAAAGCGCATGTCGCTGCGCTGAAGGGCTCACGCTATAGGGTGCTGGATGAGGACGGGTACGATGCACTAGCCCCAGCCGTCGGGGGGGTGTTGCCGGCGCTGGTAGATGATCTCTCGGAGAAGAGCCGGAGGGACCTTGGCGCCGGGGTCACGAGGAACTTGCAAGTCGTGGCCGAGGCGGCGACGGGAGCGGTGCAGAGGTGGATCCAGCTCAATGATGAGGCTACGGTGCGCATAATGAAGAGAGAGGAACACATCGAGTGGCTGAGGAAGCTCTTCACTGGGTGGAAGGAGGCTCGGCCGGCCTTGAGGGAGTCGCGGAGGAGGAGGGATAACGGAGGTAACGTGCAGACAGGCCAGCAGCCAGTGGGACGAACGAGGGCCGCGACGGCGGCTCAAGCGGGAGGGAGCGGAGACGGTGGGCAGCGAGCGAAGTGGGTGAGACTGATGATGCTCCTTCGACTTAGGGAGCGGTGCAGCTGCTGGGCGGGCTTCAGGCTGGTGCTCACGCGAAAAGGAATCGACGCGATGTACAAAGCATACAAGAAGAGGAGAAAGAAGAGGAGGGACATCAGTGGTGACGAAACAGAAGCTAGCGCAGACGAGGGCAGGGCAGACCCGGGGACGGCGGAGTCGGAGCAGACGGCATCGGCCGCCGAGGAAACGTTGGGAAGAGGCACGAGGAGGGCGGCGACCTCGACCGACTTGGACTATGGAGGACCCGTCACCAGACGACGCAGGGCAGACGACGGGGAGGCGGAGCAGACGCGCAGGGCGAGACGAGGGAGGGAGCAGGATGTTGCTGAGATCAGCAGGAGACTTAGCAGGAGGATGTACGAGCTACGACGAGATTAGGAGCAGCAGGGACCCGAGGGACCATGTGGAAGACGGCTAGTGCTAGTCCCCCATCGGGAGGACGACCCCGGCTAGTCGCCGACCACACCCACAAAGAACCCTGCACAAAGACCGCAGGGCGGGGACTTGTTCCTTTCCCCCATCTCCTAGTAGAGGTGTCCGTTTTATTTATTTATTTATTTAGCAGATTTGGGTACTTGCCCCCGGCAAGCGCGTTTGTTCACGTAATCGTAAACGCACAACCCCGGGCCCGAAATCGCACAGAGTCACGCAACTCTGGGTCCCAGGCGCCAGGGAAGGCGAGCAAAAACCTTATCGCGCGCGCTAGACGCCGACTCGGAG